GTAAAAAAAGATGTATTATTGTCGCTACAGCTCGATAATATTTTGCATGCTCGTATTCAAGTACATCTGTACATGTGTATAAATCCCTAACGGTCCAGTTAAAAGGAGAAGCGATGCATGTTGCTATTATCTGCGTCTTGCTGGTAGGGAAAAACAGGCTTGTGCCGCGCTGTGCTCTGCAGGGCAGCGGGGCGGCAGCGATGCCCGCTTAGCACGGGGAGGGTTGCGCTGGCGACAGCCGTCAGGGGCAGGAACCAGGACTGGTGGGTGGGTCTGTCTGTCTGTCCGCCCGCCCGCCCGTCCGTCCGTCCGTCCGTCGGTCTGTCCGCACCCGCTGCGCTCCGCAGTCGCCCGCTGCGCGCTTCCCCCACAGACACCCTAGGCAGGAAAAATGCTGCGCTGAATCAGAGAAGGCCAATTCCTACTTAAGAAAATCACTGAGGTACCCGAGGTAATTAATGCCTTCGGAAGCCTTTCTTTGCACTAATTACTCCGTTGTAAATGACCATCATTAAGGCAATTGAAGAAAGCTTGAAGGGAAAATTTGATGTAGGAAGTGCAGTTAGTATTAATTAACCGTATGATCTCTTGGCAAGTGCAAGAACATCAAAGGTTGTAGGTGTTTACTTAGCCACAAGATTTTATCAGCGGTGAAAGTCAATGTTTGTCCATATTCAGTAGGTTCTGGTGTAAAGATAAGGATCCGCAAAATATTTTGGCCCGCGTTTCTGATGATGTTTTGGGGCGAGCTGTTAATCGAACACGGCAGAAGGGGAAAAGTAATGAAAGTCTGAAATGCCCCTGGAAAAGAGGCACGGGAAGGGCAGTGGCAACTGCAAAGTTCTTCGATTGTTTGAGTGAGAACGGCTGGAATTGGGGAAGCATTATCGAATTACAGGCTTTCCTCGGGTAGGGGCATGAGCACTTCTTTACATCCCAGCCTGCAAAAGATGCTGCTCTTGTCTGGCCAGAAGTCTGCAGAAGCGGGTTGTTTTCTTTGACATTTAGGGAACGGGGAATGATTCAGATCCTTTCGCGAAAGTTGAGTGGCTCGCATCTTGTCAGAGATCATTGATTTTAAGCCCAGCTCGGGAGAGGGCAGGAAGGAGCTCCAGTCTCTTGGGGGCCAGACCCCGGAGCTTGACTTGGCCCACTCTGGCTCTTCCCGGCCTGCTTAAGGTGACTAGGAAGGGTACGAGGGTCCCATCCGTCCTGCGGGTGGTCTTACTTTAAATGTCGCTCCAGACGGGTGGCAGAAAGACTGCCACTGTCTGCCCAGGGGACACGGGGTCCTCCGGGACCGGTGCTAAGCGGCAGGCTCCCGGTCTCTCCCTCTGCGAGAGCGCTTCCCAGCTCCTAGGTTCAACTAAGGGACCACAACAAGGAGCAGGATCTCCCCCCGAACAGCCCCTCAGCAGCACAGAGAGGGGCTCACTCTGCCTGGAGTCGAGCTTATCCCCTCGACTGCTCCCGAGGGGAGACCTCCGTAAAGCTGTGCACTCACTGGCCTCACCCCTCCATCCCTAGCTCCTGAGATAATGCTCCCTTAGCAGCTGCCTAGGCCACCTCCATTTTTTTGTTGTTGTTTTGTTTTTGTTTGCTTTTTCTTTTCACAGGTCTGGTTCCAGAACAGGAGAGCAAAGTGCCGAAAGCAGGAAAACCAGATGCACAAAGGTGGGTTAGGGGTGCGGACCGGCCGGGGGCTGGCGGGCTCGGAGCCCCGGGGCGCCTTCGCCACTCACCCGGCCCTGTCTCTCTCCGCAGGTGTGATCCTGGGAACCGCCAGCCATTTAGACGCCTGCAGAGTAGCCCCCTATGTGAATATGGGAGCCCTGAGGATGCCTTTCCAACAGGTAGTTAGCTCCGGTTTTATTTTACTTTCCCCCAGTAAGCTCCGACCCCCATTCGTTTGCACGGGAGGAAGCCGGACACGTTTACAAGTGCCATTTATATAGAAGTTGGCACGTATTAAAAACAGGCTGTAAAACTTGGTGAAGGAGCCCCCGCCCGGCTTTCGGGAGCTCAGCGCTCCTCGGGACCGAGCGGGGGGTCCCGCGGCCCCGGGAGGCGCCGGCGGGGCTAAGGGCTGGCACTCGGCCCCGGGGCCGCCCGCAGACCGGACCGGCCTCCCGGGGCCGCATCGCCTTCCCCGGGCGGGTGGGCCCGGCAGTGCCTTCTGCGGGCACGGAGCGGCTCGGTCCCGAGCAGCCCCGGGGGCTTTGGTCTCCTCCAGGCGCCGCAGAGCGCTGCGGGACGAAGCTCTTCCACCCGGCGGGCGAAACCATGAGCGGGAAAAACTATGCGGACCCTTGCGCTGGAGTTCCCCTCCTCATTCTCGGGCGGGCTGTTGAGACCTGTCCTTTTCCGATGGATGTGACCACCCCGGAGGTGGGGAGCCTGCTCGCAAATGCTCTGCCTCCTTGATGGTCAGCCAGGACGGGGCAATGGCGGAGCCCAGACACCGACGCCACTGGGGGCCCGGTCCGTGCCCCAGCGAGGCGCAGCCACCCGGGGAAGGCCGCTGGGGAAAACCGGGACGAGGGCAATGAAATTCCATTCCCGCTTCTAGCCGGTTGTAACTCTCCCTCCCTCGGTGTTTTCTTTTTATTTTTTTCTTTTTTTTTTTTTTTTTTTTGGTCAATTAATCGGGGAATTGATTTTTTTTCCAGCCCAAAGGGACCCTCCACCACCTTCTCCGTCTCGGAGACACGTGGAGCTGACAGATTAATTGTATTGATTTTTAAAAGACATATTTGGACCAAAATAATTAAATACATAAATAAACTCTCCCCCACTCCTCCCCGAACCTACCCGAAGCTGAAATCTCTCAGTCAACCCAATGTGTTTGTGTAGGTCTAGAAAGCTCCAAAGCAAACACTAGCCGGGTATAGAAGGGACCCACGGCCAAAGAGTTTTTAGCAAGGTATAAATAAACATGCCTTAAAAGAAAAAAAAAAAAAAAAAAAAAAAAAAAAAAAAAAAAAAAAAAAAGAAGAAAAAAAATTGGCTCTTTAGCACTTGTTGGCGCCCGTGCGTTGGACAGCAGTTATTTATTTATTTATTTATTTATTTATTTAAAACCACCAGGAGGAGGGTTAAGCGTGTCTCTGTGCCCTCGGTTGAGCAAGGAGCGGAGGTCTGCTGCCGCCCTGATTGCGGAGGAAACTCCGCTCACAAGTTGTTCTTTTCACCCGCCGGGCTCCCGGGAAGGGCCGGGGCCGGGGCCGGGGCCGGGGCCGGGGCTGGGCTGGCGGGCTGTGTGTCGCTGGCGGCGGGCTCGGCGCTGACGCCGTGTCTCTGCCCCGCCGCCCAGGTCCAGGCGCAGCTGCAGCTGGAGGGCGTGGCCCACGCGCACCCGCACCTGCACCCGCACCTGGCGGCCCACGCGCCCTACCTGATGTTCCCGCCGCCGCCCTTCGGGCTGCCCATCGCCTCCCTGGCCGAGTCCGCCTCCGCCGCCGCCGTGGTGGCCGCCGCCGCCAAGAGCAACAGCAAGAACTCCAGCATCGCCGACCTGCGGCTGAAGGCCCGCAAGCACGCCGAGGCCCTGGGGCTCTGACACGCTTCCCCCGAGCCCCCACCACACCCCGCCCCGGGTGCCCGCGGCGGGCGGGCGTGTGACCCGCACGGACCGCCGCTCTGCCCCTCCGCTCCTCCTCATCCTCCTCCTCCTTGGCTGCAGGGCGAGCAGCGAGCGCTCCGGCCGCCCTGCCGCCTTATCTGTTTTTTATTTTATTTTATTTTATTTTTGTTTTGTTTTTATTTCTTTCCCCTTCCCCGAGGTGTGCGAGCGCCGCGTTGCTCGCCCGCTCGGCCCCAGGGACTCGGCGGCCGGGAGGCGCCGCGTGGCGCGGTGGGGACGCTCCGCCCGCCGCGGGCCCCCGGACACAAGACACGCGAGCAGCAAACACGCACCCGCCAGTCAGAGACTCCTCGGAGGACAAAGTAGGTGGGAGGAGAGAGAAAAGAGAGTTAAAAAAAAATCACAAAAAGAGAAAAAAAAAAAAAAAAAAAGGAAACTATCTCTAAATTATGTTAATCTGTGAACATTGGGGACACTTTGGATTTTTGACCCTGGCAAAAGTGATCGCTCCGGCATAACGTCATCTGCTGCTGTCAGTTTTGCTACCTTGTGCATGTGTCAAACTAAACACGTTTTGAAGATCAGAAATATATTAGAACAAAACTAAACAAAACAAATAGTAATAATAATAAATAATAAATCCTTGGGGCTGGTCTCCATTAAAGATGACATTTCTTTGTTGCCAACAGTATTATTTCACTGCCATGAATCTCTTCCATCACTGAGGAGCTGCTGCTGCTGCAGAACTGGTTTGAATTTAAATGTGGAATTTCAGATCTGAGGCAAGGCAGATTTTTATTTTCCTTCTTTTCTTTCCTAAAAAAAAAAAAAAAAAAAAAAAAAAGGAGCAGCAATAACAAAAAAGTGTGTGTCTCAAATGGCTATGTCCTTTGAAAGGAGAAAAAAAGAGAGACTAGAATTTACTAATTGTTAGTGATAACTTGAAAGATGGGAACAATAAGAAATGCACCTGTTTGCCAGAATTACGTGAACTCAAAGAGATGTATTGTGCCATAAAAACAGGTCAATTTTTCATTTTTTCCCCCCCAAATGCCTAGATCTTTGAATCAGAATCTCACTGTTTTACAGGATGTAGAATGAATGAATTATGCCACAAAGATGGACATATGGTTTTAAGGCATAATACTGATGCAGCATTAATTTTAGTGAAATGCAATTAAGTGCAGTAAAGTGCAATACTGTAAATATTATAGATGAAAAAAATAGCCGTACTTATTCCGTTATTAACCAATTCTGCAAGATCCATAACTTAAATCCTTTATGCTCAGACTGGTGCATTGCAGCTCCTTGCCAAAATGACAGTCCGAGTCTTCTAGGAATGGATAAAGTTATATGTATCACATATGGGAAAAGGTAGATACTATGATTTCTAGTCAACTTAATGTGCCATATTTCTCAGAAGCAAGCTGAAAAATCTGTATGACACTTTCACATGATTTTAGGTAAAAAAGCAAAACAACAACAAACCCAAACAAGTTAAAACAACCCATAGAAGTGTTCTGTAGAAGAGGACAAGTTCAATGTTTGGCCATTTTAATTTTTGCCTGTGATTTGGACACCAAGTATTAAGCTAATGCTTAAGCAAAGAAACTACTACAAATCCAGCAAGGATGGAGAGCAGGGAAGTCCTTTAAATTATATTACCAAAGTGTCTGGGTTTACTGATCCTCCTCCCCAGTTTTACTTTTTTTTCAGTTATTCACTTCTAATTTGGTTTGGGTTTTTAAAAAAAATTTTGCTGGGGAGGAGAGAGGAAAGTACAAATAGTGGTCTTGTCTTCATCTAACAAGATAGTTATTTGTTGCCTTCACTACCAAGGTCTGTGTTGATGGAAGGCTATCCTCTGAATAGCACCACTATTAGGCCTGCTTTTTATGTCTCCTTTAGCAAACCATTACTAGTTTTGGCTTTTGCTGATGTTTATCAGATCCAAATATTACTGTAGGACAAAAATTCATGCTTAGGATAATTTTTAGAGACTTTTCTTCTTTTTTGTGTTTTGTTTTTTTTTTTTTTTCTTTTCTCCTTCAAATTTTGAAATTTTCTAGCATACAAAATTTCTGGAATGTCAAAATTGTGCCACTTCCCTTCTATTTATTATCTGAGAAGTAGTTAATGTCTTGGATTTGCTGGGGCTGATAAAAGTTGCCTGCCTTTTTTACCTCTCTGTGAAAGTGTAGTACCTTTTTAAAGCAAGGTCGAAATATGAAGGCAGAATAAGAATACTTGTTGCTGAGCAATGCAGACTAAATCTCAGGCAACCAGCAATTTCTTATTGAAGTAAAACATGGCCTGGAAAGTGAAATGTTATTCATGATGATGTATGAAATTCTGGCTAGAATGAGAAATATTTGGAGTGGTTCTAGCACTTCTAAAATGCAGATCTGAAAAACAATAAACATTAGTACAAAGATGGTTTAGGCTAAAGTGAGTAACTTCTTGTACTGGACACCCACAGCCATTGAAGGAGAATTAGATACATGGTGTTGAAGACCAAAGGCACAGAGCTATCACTGAATGGGGACTGCTTGTTATCTGTACCTCTACTCTAATTGTCAGCCTTTCCAATCCTCTTCTGAGGATTTGAGAGAGGCTTACATGGTTATTTTGCAGTCCTGCAAAATAATGCAGGACTTTCAGAAAGGAGTGATTTTACCCTCAAATAATTCCATAGAGTGAACTTGTTGAAATTGTAGGGTTGGGATGTGAATTTTCTCAGACATCCAAGTGAGATGCTGAGAAGTGCTACCCATCTCAAAGTGTTACAGGATACACATACAGTATGCATCCACATTGTATGGGAAGGAATAACTTTCTGCCTTTGTTGTTCCACTAGATACAAACACAGCAAAAAATGCCTGTGCATTTCTCTCAGAAATTTTACTTCTTTATGGTATTCAAACACAGCAACAACATGAATTCAATTCCCTGCTAAGATGAAACAAGGCTGGTAGTGTAGCATACATCTTTCCAGAAAGAAACATTCTTACTTTTTTTTCCTGAGTGCTTTCAGTGGATTTCTCAAGGACAGTCTTGCTCTCTACCACAGAAGGGAAGAAGGTGGCAAGATTTATCAACTTAGGATGCTTTGAAAGAGGTACCACAGCTCAGCCTGGGGAGAGGGGCAGGGTGCTGCTGGGAATCTACCAAGGTGATTCATGCTGCTCTTGCTTTTCATTTAGCATGAAAGGAAATGAAAAGCTGCACTGTGTAGGGGTTGTTGCCAAAACTGGTTCTGCTTTGCTTTCTTGAATGGGCCGATTGCATTAGTGGGGGTGTAAAAGCTTTGCCTTGTTTTGGATGATACGCACAGGTGACCTCCTCTTCTTGTCATCTTTACATCACTGGGAAGAAATGAGGCATCCTACCTGGCCTACCATGTACATGACTGTACTTTTCTCTCAGTGTAAGTCACTGTGGCTCCATTCATCATGTGGAGCTCCAGTTATCCATACATGTTTGGATTTGGACCAAAGCATCTACTCCATCTCTGTAATGTGTGGTCTCTTTTTGTTTGTTTGTTTGTTTTGTTTTTGTTATTAATTGTTTTCTTAAGTAGGTTGGAGGTCGAAGATAACATAGTCATAGTCCTGAGGTGCTTGTTAAAGTTTAAAAGTATCGTAATTGTTTGAGATTCTCAGGCATGCCAAGCCTCATTTACTGTCCACCATCATCCAGCCTGATCTTTGTGTAATCTTTGATTTGAGAATATGAGATTTCCAAGATCATCGAAACAGCAGCCACTGAGTAGAATTTCCTTGGAGGAGAATTTCCTTAGCATATGTGGATTGCTAAAGAATCTTTCTCAGAAGATTTGTATGGTATTTGAAAAATAACTTGAATGAATGCCAAATGAATAATGATGTTTATAAGCAAGACTATAAAAAAGGCATCATGCCTTAAATAGGCCCCTTTATAATGGAAAGAATAGATTCAGAATAGATTCTGTTTTGTTTTTTTAACTGTCAAATAAGTCAAAATACTTAATTCAGTTGTACCAAAATAGCCAGTTGACTCCATGGCTCATTTTTATTGACTTGGAAATATGTGAAATAAATTATACTGAAAGTTTTTTTGCTTTGTAGGGTCATATAGATGTAGTGACATTTTGGTTAATATCATAATACTTAGCACTTATATAATGTTCATTTACAAAGCACTGTATAAATGTCTATTATTTAATCCTCACCCATTATTGTCCCCATTTTTGTAGAAATTAAGGCATATAAATGAAGGGCCAGGTTCCACCACCCATTGTCATAATTGAGTATGATTACTTTTGTTTTTGTAATGTAGCAGCATCCCCCGGATCGTAACCTGACATGAGCTTTGTGGTGGTAGACAACCTTTTACATAGCCAGGGCTCCTTGAAATTTAAACTCTGTATCTGACTTCAGCAAAAGTTTTAAAGGGCACATTGAATGTGTTTTGCAGTGCCAGAATGTGCCTGTAAGTTAATTCCACAGAACATGAAGTTACTGTCCAATTCTCTGACCCTGTATGTCAGTGGGAATTTTGTTTATGACTCAGTGGGGCCGAGTTGTGTCAGTGCTAAGACTAAAACCAAATTTCCAAGTTCCCAACAGCATGTACAAATTGCTAGGAAACTCTGATTTCTAGCTTCTCCCACTATAAATTTTTCACACAGACCAAGTGTACAGATGTCAATTCTTTGCATGCTTTATCTGCTATGTCTTTTAGTCCTGTGTTTGCCTATAAAATAATAATAAGACATGATTTTGAATTGACATAACATTGACACATTGGGACTGTTGACTCAAATCAGATAGACATGTAGTAGTACAGAAATCCAGGTCCCTAAGGCAAGCCCAGGTTATAGATTTTTTTTTTTTTTTTTTTTTTTTTTTTTTTTTTTTTTTTTTGAAAAAAAAAACATTTTTTTTTTTGTGGCAAAAAATACGCATGTTTTCTGCTTGTTTAAATGTGCTAGGCAAAATAAATTTTTTTTAAAAGAGGTAATTTTAGTTTTTGGAGGCATTATTGCTTTGGAGATAGTAGGCTTTTTACCCCCTTCAGTCTGAGGAAAGCTTTTAAAGGATAGGAAAAGAGATGACACGTTTTTCTTAGAAATGTGTTTATTTTTATAATATCTAATGGTCCAGGTGATGTCCTTGTTACTGCTAATTTTACACAACTCTATAAAGTGCACACAGCCAATATGGTTGGAAATTTTTTGTGTTCCTGGTTAAAAAGGATGGTTGAAGTGCCCCACTTTTCATCTGTAAGCAACCTTCTCACCCCATTATGTTGTTTTCTGTCCCTGATGTGACAGAATTTTCATGGCAAAAAAGTTTTCAAACAGCTGAGGATAACATGGCAACAGCTTCTCATTTGGTCCTCTGAAAATCTCTACTGATTGCAGTTAGATGTGATAGGGCTGGAGGAGACCTGGTATTGCTTGGAAACTAAAACAAAAAATAAAAAGAAGTGCGATGTGCTGCAGAGTGTGATCTCCTTCAGAGGCGAATAGAGCCTTCTGCTTTATGCCTCATGCTTGTAAAATGGCATCTCTAAGTCACTTCTATAAAAGGTACAACATGGGTCCTGTCAGTGTAATGCTGTGGCTAATTTGGTATTGGTTATTTTTGCTGGCTGGCTTTTCTAGC